TTTGTGCTCCAGTAACGGTGATAATGGAAAAATCAGAAATGAGTCTGAGAAAAAATATACAACATTATGACTGAACATGACCCCAGAAAATAAATTATTCTGTTAGGTGAACATGAATGGATGGGTGAGAATGTAATGACAGATAACAGAAAAAATGATTGAGCAAGAATGAATGAAAATTATGAGGTTATGTCAAGTGGTCAGTATCTGGTTAGAAAATGTTTCTTTTTTAAAGATGTATAGTATAAGCGGAAGTCTATTCATATATAGACATGACAAAGAATAAATATAAATTTAAAAGCATGATTGATTTCATTTCTTATGATGAAAGGTTGTGGGAATTTGCAATGAATATAAGGTAGTGTGGGAGAAATAAAATTGCAAAAAATGTAGTCGGAGAAAGCAAGGAATAATTAAGACTAAAGGCTGAGAAACTGCATGGCAGTTAAGATAGAAATTTTTTAAAAAGAGCAGAGAAGTGGGTAAAGTAGATAAAATAAGGTGTCATCAGAATGAATGGAATTAAAAAAAATGATGAAAGTTACTTGGGAATGAGTAATTTAGAGATTTGAATGGGAATTATATTGATATGCAAAGTAGAATTGATACAAATGCCATAAATGTCCAGGAAAGAAACTGATGAAATGAAAGAGATGTATGTGAAAAAATGGTATGAGATACAAATAATATATCTGGAGAAATATTAAAATATGGATGTGGCTTCCTTGGAGAATGACTGTGAAACTTGATTTAATATGTGCGTGATGTTTTCATTTCTGTCTGATGTTTGGAAAAATGCAATTATTCTATTCTAATGGAAAGATAGCAAGACTACAGGAACAGGCGAATTATATTAAGTGTGTTTGTCAGAATTCTGATGAAAATCTATTTTGATCCATGACTAAAATTTGGACTTTGCAGTGTCTATATGCTGAGCAGAGAATGTACACACCAGATTTTTGCCCTTTAGTTGGTCATTGAGAAATGTCTACATGTGAGAAAGAAAATTTATTGTATATCTTTAATTTAGAGAAAGCATATGATAAAGTGAGTAGGTATGTATTATGGGATGTTTCGTGTGAATATAAGGTTGAAGTTCAGGCATTTACAGAATTCATCTCTGATGATCATCAATCCCATAAATGTACATAAAAACAAGGTTTTTTTAAAAAAAAAGTTAGATATTTTATAACTAGAGTATGGGATATTCAGTTTTGATTACATTTTGAGATCCAAAAATGCAGTTACTGTATTAAATATTTGGTGGTTTGGTCATTCTTATTTTCAAGAGTGTAGATTATGATGTCTATATAACATTTAGAAATTTGAGAAATGGAATTGGCCTTTGGGATTGTATGAATAAGATTTTTTTGAGGGGGATCACTTTTATTAATGGAAAATTATTTCTAAATGAAAATTGATAAGATTCCCAAAATTGTGGTTGATAGGACAGAGCAAACTTCAGTTAGAATCCTCCTGGATAGTATAAGTTACACATTACATTAGGACAGTGTTTCTCAACCGTGACAATTTGGCTGTGGAATTCAACCTTGACAATTTGGCTGTGCTGGCTGTGGAATTCTGGGAGTTGAAGTCCACATGCCTTACAATTGTCAAGGTTGAGAAACACTGCATTAGGAGCTGTGGGCTTCCTGTTTCTTGTATCGGGGTAATAAGTTAAGAAAATGATTGTGCAAGGAATCTCTGGCATAGAAACTCACAGAGAGATACAGTAGCTACTCTCAGCAAGACTGAAATGCTTAAATGGATGAACCGCTACAAATATAATGTTCCAATTGAAAAGTAT